TTCGCTTCTAGGTGTATATTCCCCCTTAATTGAATTCGATCAATCAAAATTCCGTAATACCAGATTTTCTTCATAATCAAAAAGAATCTGAACTTTCTCATTATTCTTAACTTTTTCATCATTCTGAACTTCCTCACCATTCTGAATTTTCTAATAATTCTGATCATTTTGAGTAGGGGAGACCGGGGCTAACTCGACATCGGGGCAAACTTGACACTAGACTTTTTGCTAATTTAAATCTATCGCAGAAACTTGTTTTTCCTACTGTAAATGCGTCTTTATGTGCTGGTATTATCAACGGGATTTGATGACATTCTAAGTTATGGTGTAATTTTTAGCGCGTTTTTGATGGTAAAAAGTAATTTTTCTGATCTCTCGAAAATTTCTACTTTTTCATCGAGCTTTACTCTTGTAAACCTATATGTAAGTGATTTTCATGAAAAATTTGATGCTCTATATGAATCTGATAATTGTTTTTGATATTTTCAAAATTTTCATGTTTTTAAAGTGACAAAAGTGAAAAACGACGTCCGGGGCAAAGTCAACACCACGCCGTTTCGTCGGCTCCCAATAACAAACGATGCTTGTCATGCAGCCGTATGGCTCATGACAAATGTATGCGTTCGATCGCGAGTTTACCTGCATTAATTGTTTTTCAGACATGAGTTTAGATGAAGATAATTGAAAGTTCAACAATTTTTTATCTCATTATTTTAAATAATTGTTCTAGCTACTTTATTCCGAATTTTTGTACTTTTTAAGTACACAATAAACAATGTATTTTCACAATAAAGAAAGATACAGGCTCTCTAGATTAACACAATGTGAATAGGAGAAGCAATTAGAGCCAAGCGCGGTAATCAAAGCGCAAACAATTTATAAAAATAAATATATATATATATATATTAACGTACGTTTCGACACATTATTCGTGTCCTTTTCAGCGTTAAAAGTTACATAAAGTCAAATACGAAGATTAACAAAGATAATAAAAAAGAAGTCGAGTATAAGGCGTAGTCAATAGACGAACAAAGTATAAAACGCAGTCAAAATTTAAAAAAACAAGGATTGAAATTCTATGGATGTACCGTTGCCGAAATTCCAGATACGCCGGTAAGCACTCGCTCCACATCCCTCGCATCTTAGAAATAATCTCGCCAGGTTGAAAGACCAGGTGGGTAAGAAAGATTCGAAAGCCCTACCTGTACCATCAAACGGAGTCGCAATGTGGTAAAGGCGTAAATTATCTATGTTAAAATCAGATGACTAATGGATTTACTTACAGAGCAATTGCAGACCGGAATATCGCATTGTAACAACAAACTTCACGGTTCGAAACGTCGCGAATGAATGAGGCATAGGTGGGAAGGTTAACATAATAGAGACTGGTGTATAAACCAGAGGAGGGGATAAACTCTCGCATAAAGTTGTTCTAAATTTTAGACAGCCTATCGATCACATTTAAATACGCGTCCGGTAAACCCTCCGCATCGGTCTGTAAATTCAAACCATTCGCCTGCCTTTTTATGCCAAATCAATTTTGTACCTGAAGGAACACTCTTTAAATATATATCATTGAATTTGCCTAAAAATTTTAATTAAATATTAAAAATTGCCTTTAAAAAAATAGTGTCGAGTTAGCCCCGGTCTCCTCTACTCTGAACACTTTGATTTCGAGAATAACGATAATTATAGAGATATATTTAACATTAATAGACACACCGGCAAACGAGGCTCATTCAGATGACAACAATGATAACTTTGAAAATTGCGAGAATAGTGATAAGAACAATGAGAACCAAAAGAACGATGAGGAAAAAAATTTCCCATAAAGATATGTTATAAAGGTATTCTTATGTTTTTTGGGTCTCTGAATCCGAATATGATGTCAGATTTTCAAAATTCTAAATGGCGGATTCAATATGGCGGATCAAAATTACAAAAAATGGTTTGATTTTTATGAAATTTGGTGGTACTCTTATGTTTTTTGGGTCTCTGAATCCGAATATAATGTCAGATTTTCAAAATTCAAAATGGCGGATTCAATATGGCGGATCAAAATTACAAAAAATGGTCTAATTTTCATGAAATTTGGTATCCTTATATTCTAGGTAATGTCTAAATTTTACTACCGCACGGCTCTGACACGACACAAACATCTAACGAAGTATGCCGTTTAACGAATATTTTATATTGTATCGTTTGATCCCAACGCACAAATATTTTTTAGATTCGGCGTAGTTAGGGCATTATGCCTGACTAATATATTTGTGAGAGGTGTATTTGCGCTTGAAAAGGACCGGATCCACGGTCGAAACGTAGCGTTTTAGATCAATAAAATTTGGCCAGTTGGGTCGCTTACAATATCTCTGTTAATTTTTATTCTAGGTAAGTTGTAAATTTTGGAATTTTTATATTATATTGAGATCTGCAATCTAAAATACTTAAAGAATCCAAGTTTAATGGATATCAATACATTTTTTATAATTTTAAAGCGCCATATTGCATTCGCCATTTTTTAATTTTGATGTCATATTTGGATTTAAAGACCCAAAAAACATAAGGGTACCAAATTTCATAAAAATCAGACCATTTTTTGTAATTTTGATGCGCCATATTGGATCCTCCATTTTGAATTTTGAAAATTTGACATCATATTCGGATTCAAAGACCCAAAAAACATAAAAGTACCAAATTTCATGAAAATCAGACCTTTTTGTGTAATTTTGATCCGCTATATTGGATCCGCCATTTTGAATTTTGTACATCTGACTTCGGATTCGTAATCAGCGACCCCAGAAACCCCCGAGTAACAAGTTTCAAGCAAATTCAAAAAGTTTTACTTTGTTTTTTCTACGTTGCGGCTATAGCCATCATACACACTCTTGGCCACTTTTGTTTTTGCGGCTATAGCCGTCATACACAGTCAACGGGTTAACCCCGTCCCACTTCCTGGTATGCGATTCACTAGTACAACTGATCGAGAATAATTATTTAGAAACACCAGATAACCGATTGTCTCTGTGGAAACACATATGCAAGGTGCGACAGCAGTTCTGGAGCCGATGGAAGTCAGAATACCTGCAAGAACTTCAAAAGCGAAACAAGTGGACCGAGTCCGGCGAGAACATCAAGATGAACACTATCGTGTTGTTGAAGGAAGACCATGTGCCCTCCTTTCAATGGTTGATGGGTAGAGTTACTAAGCTATATTCTGGTAAAGACAGAGTAGTGCGAGTGGTCGCGGTAAAAACTAAAAACGGAGAGTTTAAAAAAGCGGTGAGAAAACTGTGCCCGATTCCGGTAGAAGATTCTACTATCGATTAAATAACGCGAGAAAGTGTAATCCGAAAGATTAAAAGACTGAAAAGATTGTTTGCGCAGTTTAGATCATTATAGGTTTAAGACATTATACGTTTAAGAATAAGTAAAGCTCAGTTTCACATATTTTATTCTGTTCATTTATCGTGAGGCAAAAGACAGATTGCTTAATTGTTCTGTAGCCTAAAAAAAAGTTTATTTGAGTTCTAAAATTAATATGTTTCAATTTTGAGTTGAATTTTTGTACTGTATTTACAAGATTGTATTTTGAAAGGTAATCCTTCCAAGAAAGGCAGCATGTTAGCGCTCTCGATCCCTCTATCAATAGATAGGAGCGCGCAAGCTATCGACTCGCGAATCGAAGTGTAGTTGAGTCGAGTGAGAGAGGTGAAGTTGATGTAATGTAAGAAACTTAGAGCCACCGCACAAGACTCTCGTATGGTCACGTAGCGTAACATAACGTGAGCCAACGCACAAGAAACGTATTGGTTACGGCCGTTACGGCGTTATACGTTTCTTGTGCGTTGATCTACGTTACGTTACCATACCAGAGCTTGTGCGGAGGCTCTAACCGATACGTTTCTTGTGCGTTGATTCACGTTACGTTACGCTACGTGACCATACGAGAGTCTTGTGCGGTGGCTCTTAGTATGGAAACTTAGTATGTCATTACTGACACCCAAACAAAGAGATTAAAATTTTTTGCAGCTTTGTCCTAATTAGTCGATTTATTTGTTATTTTTAACGACGTGCCGACTGGACATTATACTTTGGAAAACATTATTTTGTATATCTATATCATCGCAGCAGTGTTGAGTGAACCTTGCGTTGTATTGCTGGCAAAGATATGTCTTGCGAATGTCATGATTTTGCTTCGCCAAAGGCCTGCTTATTGTATTAGCAACTCAATCCTTAATTAGCTTATATTAACATATAAACCTTAGCACCCAAAGCATGTACTTACGAGTTAGCCTTACCATTATGCGCTGCCTAGCGGCGTCGTTGCAAACTAGCACGGAAAGGTGCATCTTAATTAAAAATAATTTATAATATTTCAAAAATATTTTAAAAAAAAAGATTATAAAACCAATAATAAATTTAAAATATTTTTTTAAACATTTTGGAACGAGATTATAAAACACTAAATATGTAGATATAAATTAATATTTCAAAAATATATTTCGAATATTTAAGAAAATATTGTCTGGGTGATAAAGAAGAACATTTTTAAAAATATTTTTAAAAAATTCTTAAAATATTTTTAAAAATGTTACTACAAAAATTTTTTAAACCGTTTTAAAATATTCCTAAAATCACTTAAAAATGTTTTTGCAATATTTTTACAGAAATGTTCAGAAATACTTTTTGAAAACATTTTGTGCTGTATAGGCTGATTATATGGTCTCTAGACAAGTATATATACGTGATAAATTTTCGAAATTGTTTATTTCGAAAATAAAGCTTTTTACGAAAAAAATTATCCTACAATTTCGATTTGTTTTGGCATGAGGAATCATCTCGTCGCTTGTACTACAATTTCGCACTCACCCTGTATATTACAGTAGCTTTAAAAAATGTTTGAAAACGTTTGACGCTTTTTAAAATATTAAAATATTATGTAATTTTTTAACGGCAATAACTGTCAATTATGTAACAATTATTCTGTAAATTAGGTTTCTTACTAGGTCACAGTGTCCTTTATATACTTTCGACATTACTGACAAGAATTTTATACACGGAATCCGAGAAGACTAAGACATTAAGTAAAGTGCAAATAGGACTACCTCATCGTGTTAATTATATGGTTGATCTAGACACATATTACGTTCCAATTTTTATACACAGCGCCATATGCGATTTTTCTTACACAGTCTTACTAGTAGTATTCGATGTTCTGTATCTAACACTTGTCGAATACTGCTGCGGTTTGTTCGCGGCTTTGAGGTGAGTCTAATAAACGATCATGGTTTAAGTGCATGGATTCTATAAAGAATCGCGAATAATGGGATAGTTTATTTGTTGCGGAAATACTTTTATTCCAAGAGGCGTCATTAAAAAATTTTTTTGATAATATTGAGCTTAGATACCGGTTGGAAACCGCGTTAGTCCTCAAAAACGACAGATTGACGATGACGACTGCAAAAGATAAATCTTATGCGAATATCGCGTACAGTATTCGCAGACACACGGAAACGATGCAGTGAGTATACGGTTGAACGCTTAGCATTAATTATCTTTGTACGAGCAACAAAGTAACAAAATGATATGTTTGTGTATATTATATTAGATTTGTTGCCGTCATAGAATCAGTATATAGCTTACCTCTCTTTATACATATTGGACTGACCGTACTTATTTTAAGTGTCCTGGGATATCAGGTATATCTGATGAAAATTCTCACAAAATTTTAATAGTTTTTGGATGTGCTTTTACATCGCATGTATAAATTAATAAAATATTTAGTAAAGCTAATTTATTTAACTATATTTACTATATTTCGTTAATTATATATCTTGTCTTTTTGTCGTGTAGGTGATAACCAACACAGAAAATATTAATCGCCTTTTAAAACCCACTGCTTATCTAAACGGACTTTTAATTAACGTTTTCTTCGAAAACTGGCAGGGTCAGAAAATCATAGATTCCAGCGAGAAAGTGTTTAAATCTGCGTACGTTTTGTATAATATAAGTAGTAGTTTGCTAAATCATATAATCCATGAAAGCATAACAAAATAGCAAGCGGATAAATAAATAATGAAATTTTAAAATTTCTTCCAAAAATTGTAGGTATAATTCAGAGTGGTACAATATGCCAATAGCAGCGAGGAAGCTTCTTATAATGATGATGATAAGAAGTGAGAGGCCATCAATACTAAGAATGAGTAAAATCATTGTACTGTCATATGTAACTTTTAATACGGTAAGTGTAATTGTTTTATAGAATATATATGTGCAATTACCATAGACGTATATAATAGACTGAGCATTCCTATTGGAGAGCTGTAGAGAAGATATCAAAAACATAGATATGTTTGCTGAGACGCTTTTCTTGTCTAATTGTGTAGTTGGTGTGAAGAAGGTAAGGTGGATGTTGTGTGAGCGTGTTCACATGTGCGCGCGTCCCCATAGGTAGCGCGCATTACCTAGCTGCGCAGTCCGATGCGCAGACGTCTTGCACGCGAGTCGCCAGGGAGCATTGTGCAAGCAACCGTGCCACGTATTACACGTACAATATATAGTGTTCTAAAAAAAGATGCAGTGTACATTCATTACCCGCTTTTCCTTACCATTTACTGGATCCACACCAGTACATGTGCGGCTTGCCTCTGAAAGGCGGCACATACACAACAATTGGCGACGAGGACGGTCTAATTCAGCGATCGAAAAGTGTCTCAAAATTGCAATTTTTCAGTACCGCGACAATTACGCGCGGCTATTTTGGGAGACACACGTGGCAAATTCTCGTACGTTCAAGAAGTGAAGAACGTACTGAAAACTTCCGCGAAAGATAAGTACAATGGCACATGCACCGAATACGTTTACAATCGAGCCTTTCGATCCTACGGTAGGACAGTTTTCGAAGTGGCAAATGCGTTTGGAAGGCGCATTCAAGATTTTCACTATCGCGAACGCAAATCGCGTACCGTATCTCCTGCATTATGTAGGCCCTACAGCATTCGGAATGCTAGCGGACAGATTGAGTCCGAACAATCCGTATACGACGGATTATGAAGACATTATAAAAACATTAAAAGATTTTTACGAACCAACCCCACTCGAGATCGGGGAAGTGTACAAGTTTTACCAGAGAAAACAAGAAGAGGGGGAGACTGCTCTCGAATTTTCGGCAGCGCTACATAAAATTGCGCTCAATGCAATTTTGGCGAGCACATTAAAGTTGCCATAAGAAACCAGTTCGTCTGTGGGCTCAGGAATCGACGGGCTCAAGGCAGATTGCTCGAAACCAGGGATCTGGATTTGGAACAGGCGGTCCAAACAGCGGCTACTATCGAGTTGTCCGAGAAGGGGACAAAGCAGCTACAGGGGGAGACGGAAGTTACCCAGGTACATGCAGCCAAGAAGGCAACGGGCAGCAGCAACGGCAGTTTTAATAAAGATAAGCCAAAAAATTTTAACAAAAAAAATGTTAAGCCGCGTTTTCAAAATTTGAGTAAAATTACTTGTTACCGGTGCGGTAAGAATCACCTCGCATCTCAGTGTTCGCTAGATAAAGCAACGAAATGTAATGCGTGCGGTAAAGCCGGGCATTTGCGTGTGGTTTGTCGTACTAACGTAAGAAATGTAAATAAAGTAGATTGTTTACCCGTAAAGGACGTGCAATTTAGAGATAAGTTTTTCACAACGTTATTAGTTAATAATAAGAGTATTAAGTTTGAGGTCGACAGCGGTGCGGCCGTTACTTTAATTTCTCAGTCCCTTGTGAATAAATTATTTCCGAAAAATAAAATTCACGAATTGGATATACAATTATTTTCATATTGTAACCAACAGGTTAAAGTGCTTGGTTACATGGTGGTAGAGGTGCAAGATGGTAAAAATTCTCGTGAATTAAATTTGTACGTTTCAATGCAAGAATGCAAGCCATTGCTGGGTCGAGAATGGATCTTGCAAATAAAAAATAATAAAGTAATGCATCAATTTCGGGGACAATTACATACATTGCACAAAGTTGATGACGCGAGTAATTTAGAATTACAAAAGTTATTGAAAGAATTTTCTAATTTAACGAATCCGGTCATTGCAAAAATTACGAATATGCAAGCAAGGCTTACGCTAAAAGATAAAGCAAAGCCTGTGTTTATTAAAGCGCGCCAAGTTCCTTTTCGTTTACGCCAAGTTCCGTTTCTTTGGTGGAGGAGGAATTAGATAGATTAGTTTCTGAAGGAATATTAGAAAAAGTCGATCATTCCGAATGGGCTACACCCATAGTTCCGGTTATTAAAAAGAGCGGACAAGTACGTATCTGCAGGGATTTCAGCGTAACACTGAATCCACAGTTATTGATCGACGAACATCCGTTACCTACGGCGGATGAATTACTGATTTCCATGGCCGGTGGTACAGTTTTTTCTAAAATAGATTTGCTACAGGCCTATTTACAATTAGAGGTTCGGCCGGAAGACCGTTCCCTGTTAACTTTGAGCACGCACAAGGGTCTCTATAGATTTACGCGTTTAATGTATGGTGTCGCAGCAGCGCCAGCGATATGGCAACGCACCATTGAAAATATATTAAAAGATATTCCGGGAGTAGTAGTTTTTCTCGATGACATACGCGTCGCAAGCATTGATACGAAAGATCATCTACAAAAGTTGCGTTTAGTTTTAAGTCGTTTGGAAAAATACAATATTCGCGTAAATATGGAAAAGAGTGAATTTTTCATGCCGCAAATTTCGTACTGCGGATACATTATTAATAAAGACGGATTACATAAGGATCCGGTAAAAATAGAAGCGATAAATCTCATGAAGAGACCTTCCAATGTTTCGGAAGTTCGTAGTTTCTTGGGGATGATTAATTATTATGGGAGATTCATCCCTAAATTGAGTTCAATCTTATACCCATTAAATAATTTGCTTCGTAAAGATATTAAATTTCAATGGACTTCTCAATGCGAGAAGAGTTTTCAAGATGCAAAGAATGCGTTTATTAGTCCTAAATGTTTAGTACATTTTGATCCACGGTTGCCAGTAACGGTAGCTACAGACGCGAGTTCTTACGGGGTAGGTGCGGTTTTATCGCACATCTATCCAGACGGCTCAGAGAGAGCTATACAGTACGCCTCACAGACACTTTCGCCTACTCAGAGACGATACTCACAAATTGATAAAGAAGCATATGCAATTATTTATGGGGTTAAGAAGTTCCACCAGTATTTACAGGGTGCTAAATTTATTTTGATTACTGATCATCGTCCACTTACACAGATTTTTTCGCCAACAAAAAGTCTTCCGATTTTTACAGCATTACGTATGCAGCATTATGCATTATTTTTACAACATTTCAATTACGAAATTAAATACAGAAAATCGGAGTTACATGCAAACGCGGATTGTTTCCATTCCACAGGAAACAAATGAAGTTGATTCGGTAGATAGTTTTCAGTCAGGTACATTTGATTCATTGCCAGTAAAAGCGTCAGAGGTAGCTACAGCTACAGAAAAGGATAAGGAATTATCCACAGTTCTACAATTTTTGAAAACGGGAAAAATTACAGGGAAAGAAAGAACTTTCCATTCGATTAACTTGAACGAATTTACATTGCAGGACGGGGTTATTTTCCGGGAATCTAGGGTGGTTATTCCATTTAATTTACAAAAGAAAATTCTGCAGGAACTGCATACAGGTCATTTCAGCATCGTCCGGATGAAACACTTAGCTAGAAGATATGTCTGGTGGCAGAAAATTGATAAAGATATCGAGAAATTAGTTGCAAACTGTAAAGATTGCAATGCGTTTCAAAACAATCCTTCAAAGAATGTTTCGCATATATGGGAACCGTCTACAACGCCGTTCGAGCGTGTACATGTCGATTTTGCAGGACCATTTTTAGGTCAATATTTTTACATTCTGGTCGATTCTTTTTCAAAATGGCCGGAAATACATATTGTTAAAGATTTAACGTCACGTACGACGATAAATCTTACTCGGAAAATTTTTGCAATGCACGGTTTACCTAGATATTTTGTTTCAGATAATGCTAAGATTTTTACGTCTAAAGAATTCAAAGATTTCTTGTTATCCAATGGGATTGCATAGAAGTTAATAGCCCCCTACTATCTTGCAACCAATGGCCAAGCGTAGCGTTACGTACAAACGCTTAAAAATTCATTAAAGCGAATGCGATGTATTTCAGCGAATGTACATGTAGAATTGCAAAAATTGTTGTTACAATATAGAAATACGCCTCATGCGACAACAAATACTTCGCTGGCGGAAATGTTATTTTCGCGGAAATTACGTACTAGGTTAAATTTATTGCGACCTTTCGAAGAAAAAGTTAAGTATAATACGAGTAGTACGCCTGTAAATTTTTAAGGAAGGGAGAAGGGTCAGTTGTCGAGATTATAGAGGTAAAAATAAATGGGTTTTTGGTACAATCGCGCAGCGTTTAGGAACGCTTAATTATAGTGTTAGGTTAGACGATGGACGTACGTGGAAACGTCATGTTAACCAGCTGCGGAAAATCGGTAAAGACACACTGGTTAAAGAGGAAGAGTACGACTCTTCTTTTGCTGATAGTACAACGGAAATGACGGATACAAACTGGGAGCCGTCCAAGGTTTCAAATTCAAGTCAGGTTGCGTCTGACGAAACCGTTAAAGATCAGAATGTGTCTAATAGTATAGTTAGCGATTCGAGTACGATTAAGGCTCCTCCGTATTCACCCCTTACGGGTTTAGAAAGAGCAGATTCGAGCTCTGATTCGTTCGCGACGCCTCCAAGCGTGATAGCAGCGTCTACGCCTATACAGGCACCTGCAAGGATTGTAAGTGGGACTGTTGATAATAAAAACAACAATACGCCAGTTTAGCCTTCACGTATACCACGTAACCAAAAGCTTCCGTTATACCTGCGTGATTACTTCGTCCTGACCAGGCATAGTTCACCATCTTTTGGGTCCCAACGTGTACGCTCTGGGTGCGCCTCTTCTCGCGATGAGAACGAGACGCCCCGGGAGTGCGGAGCCGCATCGCGACGCGGTCCATCCTCCCTCGGTCGACAACCAGGGCCGACCTTCACTTTCATTACGCCTTTAGGTGTCTCGCTCAAGTCCCAATGACTCGCGTACATGTTAGACTCCTTGGTCCGTGTTCCTCTCGGGTACTTCCGTAATGGATTAAAATTCGTAAATCACACAGCACCCCGTACATTGTATTCATAAGCGAGGGGAGTGTTGTGTGAGCGTTCACATGTGCGCGCGTCCCCATAGGTAGCGCGCATTACCTAGCTGCGCAGTTCGATGCGCAGACGTCTTGATGCGGGCGACACGCGAGTCGCCAGGGAACATTGTGCAAGCAACCGTGCCACGTATTACACGTTCAATATATAGTGTTCTAAAAGAAGACGCAGTGTAAATTCATTACCCGCTTTTCCTTACCATTTACTGGATCCACACCAGTACATGTGCGGCTTGCCTCTGAAAGGCGGCACATACACAACAATGGAGAAACAAAGAAACAATCTCAGGGTTCATTGGTTGATACTGCGATAAAGCGTGTTTTAGCGTGTACAGAATTGTCTCAGCAAGCATCTCTGTCCTTTAGATTTTGCCTATAGCTCTCCAATTGTAATGTTCAGTCTATCCATATACGTCTATGGCAGTTACTTTGTAAAAATAAAATTTTGTTTAAGGTGTTGCGTACATCATCGTCATACTTCATGTTGCTACGGTCTTTGTAATGAAAATTTTAGAATGTAACTAAGAATATCTAGATTTATCTATTATCATTTATCACACGCTAGTAACAGATAAAAATAAAATCTTGTAAGATCGCACATTTGTAAGCTAACTTTCCTTTTAGTGCCTTTTCTGTAGATAATTAAATAAAACTATAAAAAACTCATTAACTTCTAAAGTAAAGAAAATTCCTTTTCTTATGAGGAATCCACGATCCTCTGTCAAAAACTATCATACAAAATATTTATCAATATAAAGAAAACATTTTTTTTACATTTTTTATTATTAAAGAACTTTGCAAGTATTAAAATTTTGATAAATAAATTATTAATGTCCAACAGTAGTCTATAATAAACAAATATACATATACTATATGTAAAAAATTGTTGTAACAATTAACATTAGGACAAAATATTTAAAGCTTCTAATAACAGGAAAACGAATTCATTGAAGCACTTTTGTCGCAGTCATCCCAACATGTCTTATTTTCCAGAAAAAAAAACATAAAAAATATTCCGCTCACAAAGCTCCTCTTATGAGGAACCTTGTATCTTATTTGATGCATAATTATTAGTATATATATATAATAATAAATTTCACATGATTAGAAATCAAACAAAGAAAAATGGAGCGTTGAGCCGTAACAAGGTGTTGGTGTTTATATATTCTATACTTAAGTAAAGAAGTAACGAATTGTAATGTACATACTGTACATATACATATATTCCAACTTAATAGACTGCGCGCCGCAAATTTGTATGATATATGTATACTTGCTTGAAACACAGCTATTTTGGGACATTAACACCCTTCCCTCCCCGGAATTAAATCGACGCGATTTAATTGTTTAAAAATTGTATGTTTAAAAAATCGCGTCGATTTGATTCCGGGGAGAGAAGAGTTATTAATGTTCCAAGATAACTGTGTTTCAAGTCCGACAAATTTAATTCCATGTGCTAAATAATTTTAAACCGTTATGTCACGCAGATTATCACTCAATTACTATATTTATTTATCGTGTACTAGTTGGGGCAAAAAGTAATGGATCATAACGATCGCGTGTTGACATTGACGTAGTTAAAACATACAACTACTGCCCAATAAATTTAATACAAATTGAACAAATATTTTACACAAAATTAAATTATCTCCTTTGTAAGAAATGTTTGACATACATAATAATACAGTTCCGTTTGTACAAGTTAAGAAAACGAATCAATTCTAAATAATTTTTAAAAACATATAATAATACTGAAGAGCACTTTACCTTGTACGTGTTGAAAAAAAGTATGATAAAAGCTCTTTCTAGTTTGAGTACAATAAGACTTGTCATAATTTCCTTTATATGATCATTTTCCTATTGATACTTTGAGTAATTTTACTTTCCTTTTCTAAGTTGTACGTGCATCTGTTCCGTATTTCACAGTCTTACGATTTGTACGCTAATACAGAATTTTCGAAATTTTTCTTCTAAAAAATGTAAAATTATTATTAATATAAAAATAATGTAGATATATTACTATTTAAATAATAGCAGAGCGTTGTCTATATTTACGCGAGAAAATAATTAAATATAATAAGAATATCAGTACTCATGCTTGAACTTTTATCTTATTGATAAAACATCTTTTATGTCTATCTTTAATTTTTAAAAACAAGAAAAATCTTTAATAATGAAAATATGTAATACAATAGACACATAGACCTTTGATAAGTTTATACGTCATAAGACTATTATTTTCTAATGTAACCGATTTCAAAGCTTTTCGTAACAGTCCTGTCTTAGATCGACTCTACTTGCAAATAAAATTTTCATACCTCTTTTGTCTGCGTCGAATCCACAAAGACGATATTTTCAGCATGACTGTTTCTCTTCTCTATAATTGCGTAATTTCCATAAGATAATCTTGCGACTTTACAATGTGCCGTTTTGGTTTCTGCGGCATAAACACGTTAGCGACAAATATGCATTTTAGATTTTACGACAATCAAACATTAAATGGAATTCTCAAGAGACCGACAATCTATACCTTATAATAAGTAAATTTCGCTTTTGTAATAGTAGCAGCAGGAGGTAAGAGACAGAATGAGTGATATCGAACAGTTCTACCGAATTTTTTATTAGACTGAAAATTGTTAGAGGCGATATTGGAGCAGTGCAGTAGTCAAAACCGAGTGTTGAAGATGGATACATCTAAGGATATCTTTCAGTCTCGATTATATAAACTCAATCGTACGCTACTTTCGTTGCTGGGGCAATGGCCCTTTCAAAAGAACAAAGACAGGCGGGTTATCTTTGTGACGGTGTCGGTTATCGGTCTAACACAAGTCATCGCGCAGGTATGTTTTCTACATTGTGATTCTTATTAACCCGAGAACGGTCATTTGAAGTGATTTTTGCACTCTTGTGTCCAAAATAAAGCTCACGTCACAGTAATTTTAATGCTTCTTTCGATTTTTAAATATTTTTTTGTTTTTTTCTTTTTCAGAAAATATTGATATTATTACATATACTGTCCACAAATACTAATAAATTATAGAACAATAAAAAATATGCAATATGTAATTAATAACAGTGACTTTTGATTAGGGTCTAAAAATCATCCCCAGGTGACCGTTTATGCAAAAAAAAAAAAAAAAATAAGATGACATGGTTTCCAAGTTAATCATCAATCGATCAATATTTTTAAAAAGATCATCTTCTATTTTAATAATATCGGAAATTAAAACTTAAAAAACAAGAGATATGAAAAGACACATAAATATTAGAAATTCGAAGTTAAAAATATTTGAAATTATCAGTGTAGGTCGAACATCTATATATATAAGTCACGTCTGTCTGTCTGTCTGTACGCGAACTACTCATTCGTTAGTGGACCAAATTTTTACCAAAAGTATATGAAATAAGGGTAGAATTTACCGGGGATGAACCGATCTTTTTGGAAACCGATTCCAAAATTTTTTCAAAATTTACGAGAATTAATTGACCAAATCTTAAAAAATTGTATATGAAGTAAAGGTAGAATATATATGTCCCATAGAGTGCCATAAAGTGTACAATTTTTTGTTACCAATCTTTTTGGAAACCGGTTACGAAATTTTACCAACTTTTCGGGAATTAATTGACCGAATCGTAAAGAATTGTATATGAAGTAGGTATAGAATTTCCCGGGAATTGCCATAAAGTGTATAATTTTTCGTTACCGATCTTTTTGGAAACCGGTTCCAAAATTTTTCCAATTTTTCTGGAAATAATTGACCGAATCTCAAAGAATTGTATATGCTAATTTTTTTGAAACCGCGAGTTTAATTTTTCATTAATGTGCTGATTTTCTTGAAACGTTTCCGATTTTTGTTTAAAAAAATTTGTGTGATTTTTTAAAAAATGTACGTTAGAAGACGGTCAGGATGATCTATTGCTAAAAACAGCACTAAATTATGAAATAAAGGAAGCTGCAAAGGCCAAAAAAAAATAAATTTTTTTTTATAATAATTTTCGGGAATTAAATCGTTTATAGGTCGATTAGTTTTAATTGAAATATGTTGTATGTAGGATTTATTACTGATTTTCTGGAAACCGGTTTTTCCAATTTTTCGGGAAATAATTGACCGAATTTCAAAGAGTTATATATGAAACAGGGGTAAAATTTTCCGGGGAGTGCTATAAGTGTATAAATTTTTGTTACCGATCTTTTTGGAAGCCGATATCAGAAATTTTTTAAATTTTTTAGGAATTAACCAGTTACTTCAATTCGTGACTGTCGCGAGCGATTAAGACCGGTTTTTGGAAACCGGTTACGAAATTTTTCCAATTTCTCGGAAAATAACAAGTAGTTTGCGGTCAGACAGACAGACATACAGACGTCAGGTACTTATATATATAGATAGGGGTAGAAAGAACTAAAGAATGTAATAGAATTAGAAAAATTGTTAATAGTAAAGTGGTTTACAAATTCTGTTAAAAAAAATATATACGTGATTGCTCCAATTTCCGCAAACTTTGAGATATCAAGCTGAATTTTTTTTATGGATAATTGTTTTAATGGATAATTTTTATGGATAATTTTTTGTTACCAATTAAATTTTTGAAACCAGTGCCAAAATTTTTAAAATTTTTGGAGAATAAGTTTAATTTTTTATTAATAAATAATTTTTTATTAATGGATTGATTTTCTTGAAACCCGTGCCAAAATTTTTTTAATTTTTTGTTGATGATTTTGATGAAATTGGTACCAAAAGATTACTAATTTTATGGAGATGGCTACTATGGGATTGAAAATTAAGTTTTATGGGGTTCTATTGGTGCTCCTAATTAATGAGTGAGTTTGGGGAGAGGGGAATAGATTTTGAGCCCGCGCGAAGCGCGGCGAAAAACCTACTACTTTTATATTTTGCGAAACGTATTTTTCGATCTCATTATTTTGCCGGGGAATGTTGGATTCAAGGTACTCGCTTTAGTGACATTACGCGGCGATCTTGATGCTACCATCGAATGTATACCACCACTTATAATAGATGGTGTGTGCATCGTTAAGCTGACGAACCTGGTGTGCAATATAGAAAAGGTATGCAGAAAATCACGATATTAAGTGAAATCACATTTATTTAAAAAATATGAATTTCAAGTTGTAGATCAAGATACTTCTTATACACATGCAAAGGGATTGGCAATCGTGGACCATCCAAAGCGAATTTGAAATTTTGCATAGGTTTGCGGAGAGTGGAAGAAGCATTACTATCGGCTATGCTAGTAAGAAATTAATAGAAATTAATCACTATTATATTATGCGTTAAAACTGATAGTATATATACAATCATAAATAAATAGTATATTGTACAAGTAGTGGGAAAAGTGGTCGATTCTGAATGAGTGTGAAGTTGGTCGCACTCGCTTCGCTCGTGCGACCATCACACTCGTTTGGGCTCGACCACTCTTCCCACGAGTTGTTCATACTATTTTTCCTAACAAGAGCGTGAAACAGGCCGCTTTTCGCGCTTGTTTTACAATTTTATTTCTCCACTAGTTAAGAAATGGCTCCATTTTTCAACGCTTACGTCATCGATTGCGAAATGGATCGTTTTGCTCACTCAAAACAAGCGCGAAAAGCGGCCCATTTCACGCTCGCGTTAGGAAAAATTATTAACTAATAATTTGTAATAACAATTAATTTTATGCTTGCTTGATGTGATTTCTAATTAAGATATTATTAAAAATTAATTTATATATAACTCGAAAATAATCTATTTAACGAAAGAATCATTAGCAGATCGCATTTTTCGCATCTAGGTGGTATGTATGCATTTGGCAGCCTTTTTCCTTTTCTCGCGATAATTCCGAAAATAATCGGCAAAAATGTAACATCCGACTATCCAACGCGGCCAGTGGGATTTCCATATCACGTGGAATATTATATAGATCTCGAAAAGTACTACTATCCCGTGTTGATTCATAATTACTTAACTACTGCTATTCGTCTTAATACCATAGTCGCGTCTGACACCTACGTGACTATTCTGGTACAACATTGTTGCGCACTATTTTCAATCGTCAGGTATGTATTAAATAATTTGAATGACTAAAAAAAATACTTTGAGATATTTGGCCGTTTCCTTTTTCAGATATCGGCTAGAGTGTATAAGAAAAACCATCGAGCAAGATAAGGAGCTCGCTTCGCTCGAGGAAGATAATAAATTTTACAAAAATTTCGTATATTGTATACAAAAACATAGAGATGCTCTACGGTTAGTGTGTATCCTTGCATAATTGTAAGAGATATAGAAATTTTCTATTTATGTACTTCAAGAAAAGACTTGACCCCTTCGTTGGGAGAGAGAATTCGACAAAAAGTGCCCAAAATGGCAGGAAAATTTTTCATCTTAAAAATTTGTACCCTGGGGTTTTTGAGAGTCCCTGATTACGAATCTGAACTTAAAATTTGAAAATTCAAAATGGCAAATTTCATCTCAATCAAGTAATTTTTTGCATTTTCATCCGCCATTTTGGATCCGCCATTTTGAATTTGCAAATTTTGAATTCAGATTCGTAATCAGCGACCCCGAAAACCCCCGTGTAAGACTTGGATGCCAAATCAGAGCAAGTTATAGGAAAAAAAAGATTGACGCACTATTGCGTCAATGCCAACGAAGAGGTTAATATAAGAAATAATTATAGATTTTTTTTATTAAACAAGATTTGCGAGGTGCTTAGAGACTGTCTACACAAATGCGTTTTTCGTGGAAGTTGGCTTAATTATATTGGCTATGAGTATGTCGGCTCTACAGGTTTGTGATCGATACATCGCAATAATATATTGAATGAATATAATGATATTAATATATATATATATATATATATAGATATTATTTATATATTCATTATATAATATATAAATAATATCAATATATATATATGTATATATATGGAGAGGTAAAAACCACAGTGATGTAAATCAAATTTTTAAAAGCATAGATGCAATCTGTATGTACAATATATAAATTGCATCTATGCACACGAGAAAATATTTTTAAAAATTTGACTTGCACCATTGTGGTTTTTACCCCTCCATATATATTGATATTATTTATATATTCATTAAATATATAATATTATTGCGATTATATATATGATATAAAATATATTACGCGACTTTGTGAAATATAAACCGGTATTGAAATCCACGGCTTTTGGAACATTTTTAGGCAACTAATGGCACCCTCACTCCACATCTTGCAATTCGGCATTCCGCGTATATTATCGCTCAATTATTGCATTTATACATGGCCTGTTGGTTCGGGCAACAAGTAATCGATCACAGCGATCACGTTTATACATCGACGTGAGTCAAAGAATACAACTACTTTCTAGTAATACAAGTCATGCAAATGTCCTACACAAAGTAAAATTACTTCTCTCTAACAAATTTTTATTTGAGATACAAATAATAATAAAGTTGTCAATATAAGTTACCGAGGTGAATGGTATGAAGCATCACCCAAATCCAGGAAGCTCTTGAACATGATAATGCTGAGAAGCACTTCACCTTGTACGTTGACCGTTGGAAAAATCATGATTCTTTCTCTTCCCAGTTTCAGCGCAGTAAGACCTGTTATAATTTCCTTTATATGATTATTTTCCTATTGACATTTTTAGTAATTTTACTTTTTTTTCTAGGTCGTACGTGCATCTGTTTCGTATTTCACAGTCTTACGATCTGTACGGTAATACAGAATTTTCAAACTTTCTCTTCTAAAAAATGTAAAATTATTCTGAATATAAAAATAATGTAGATATCTTACTATTTTAATAATGCAGAGCATTGTCTATATTTACGAAAAAATAATTAAATACAAGAATATTAATATTTATGCTTGCACTTTTATCTTATAAAACATCTTTTACGTCTATCTTTAATTTAAAAAAAATCTTTAATAATGGCAATATGTAGTACAATAGATTTTTGATAAGTTTATGTTTATACCTCACAAGACTATCATTTTCTAATGTAACCGATTTCAAAGGATGGAGCTATACCTTTTCGTAATAGTCTGGTCTTAAATCGACTGTACTTGCGAATAAAATTTTCATACCTCTTTTGTCTGTATCGAATCCACGAAGACGATATTCCCAGCATGACTGTTCGCTTTTTCTATAATTATGCAATTTCCATAAGATAATCTTGCGACTTTACAATGTGCCGTTTTGGTTTTTGCGGCATAAACACTTTAGCGGTAAATATGCATTTTAGATTTTACGACAATCAAACATAAAATGCAATTCTCAAGAGACGATCTATACCCTATGATAAGTGAATTTTGCTCTTGTAATAGTAACAACAGGAGATAAGAGACAGAATGGGCGATATCGAACAGTTCTTTCGGGATTCGCATTATAACATCATTCGAATACTATTAAGTATCAGTGGCCTATGGCCTTTTCATACGCAATACAGGCGCTACGCGATATATCTCGCTATGTTACTGATACTTGGATCTGGATTTATATTCGAGGTAAGTTTAAGAAAACGTATATTATTTTAAAATACTATTGCATGTATGTACTATTATAGCTTCCATTATTGCGTTCTTCCAAAAAGATGTGTGGTAATTAAATCTTTCTTCTTATATCATTTCGTCAAGATATCTATGCGTACAAAAATCCATATTTACTTTTAAGTGTATTTAATATAATTAATGTAATTTGCGATCGGGTGCACATGGGCCAGGATAGCAGTAAAATTGGTCAAATTGTTGGAATCGATTTTGGAGATGCGATAGGACAAATATATTATTGTCATTTTAATAAGTTAAACTAATTATTTTTAAAATTCCATTGACAATAACTTAAACGTTTTGAAAATTATGTATGCATGACTTTACTTTTTATATATTTCATTAGTATTGTTGTATTAAAAAATATTCTATTGCTTTTTATCCATTGTTATACTTGGACAAATCACTGTAATAGTGCAAAGTGCAAAAGACAAAAATAGTAGAACGTTGTACTTATACGTATATGTATTATTGAATTTCAATGTGATCATACTTTGGAAACATATTGCGTCCTAAAGTGTTACTACTTATCATAACGAGTGAAGTCTCATTGGATACCTTAAGCGGACTACACACACAGAGAGATATGTATCAATAAAAGATATCATATACCGTCTCTCATCGTGTGTAAGTACGTCTCCGAAGGTTTCATGCGGTATCAATAAGTATATCGATACATGAATCTAGTTTCCCGCTGTATTAAATCCGTCATTTTTAATTTCAAAAATTTTACATCAAAAATTTAATCAGCGATATCAAAAACCTTGTATAGGTACTTTTTTATTAGGCATTTATTAGGCCATATGTTAAATGAGATATTGAATTTTGGCCACTTTTACTGCTCTCGTGTCTTAAGGTGCCTTTTCATGCTGACGCTCGACGCTTGATTTGGGCGTCAAAACTGGTCACGTGACCAACTTCATCGATAAGAAGGCGATATAGCATCCAGATATGCGAGCGTCAAAACAAGCAATTGACTGAAACGAGCGTCAAGCGTCAAAGCTGAACACAGTTGAGCTTTTGCCATTTGACGCTGGAATTAAAAAGACTATCACGTGACCTATCACGTGATCAAGTTTGACGCCCAAATCGAGCGTCGAGCGTCAGCATGAAAAGGCACCTTTAGTGTAAAACGGTTCAATTTAAATCATTTGTTATATGACATGTCTACAATGTAATTAACGAAAAATGTAGATGTTGGGTGTAATTGAAATCAAGCATGACTCCTTCGAAGTGATTGATGCCCTACCGTTGCTTTGTTTCGCGATAGTGACTATAAGTAAAACGTTTTGCGCGGTATATACATTACCACAGGTGCGTAAATATAAAAATGATATTGTATATAGTAAACTAAACGATTAACTAATAATAAAAATAAGGTAATTATTTAGTTTAGGGGAGCAACCTCCTGCGACTTTGACCTTGACATATATTATAGAGAGCACTCTCCTGAGAGCACTAACCTTCTAAAGGTTTCAGCTGCTCGTTATTGATTAAAAAGTTATTAACAAAAAGTTTGAGAAATATAACAGTTTGTGTCAGTACTAAGGGAAGTAATTTGCGTGTATAGACAGTACATATGTAGGCGAAGGAGGGGCTACGCCCCTACCCTGCTTCAGGTGTTATATGTTATATAATAACTTTTTAATAAATAACGAATGATGGCTAAAACCTTTAGAAGGTTACTCACAATCAGGAGATGCTCTTTATAATATACTAGACACTACAGACGCGCGCTACGCGCGCGCTATTTATCTTTAACATTTCACTATTAACCCTATTATACACAACTGTCAAAATATACAATGACAGCTGCAAATGAAGTAAGCGCAGCAAGAAAACCAATCGGCATCGCGGAAAAGCGGCAACAATAAACTTCACATCTCCTTTTTAGAAAAGGATATGTCAAAGTCAAGATCGCAGGAAATTGCTTCCCTAAACTAAATAATTACAAAAAACAGTAGCAATAAGTTCGAAAAATAAAATTAAATCTTATCACATTTAAATCTTTATCGAGTAATAGATAAAAGTGCTTCTTATAAAGATGCAAGAGTACTGTCTTTCCCCAAAATCGGATGAGGAAACTAAGATACAGATTTCGCACGCGCAATATGGGCAAAAGTTAGGCTACACTTATACGGGTGATTTTAATAGTATAATCGGTTTAACAATAATTTAGTGCAGTAAAAAAATTTCAAACACATTAATATAACAATTTTATTTTTTAAACGATTTTCAAATATACTATACATACGTTTGAAGACGTTTGACGCTTTTTAAAATGTCGAAGTATTATGCATAACTTTTTGGCAATAATTGTAAATTATAATAATTATTCTGCAAATTAGGTTTAATACTAGGTCACAGCATTATTTATATACTTTCGACATTACTGACAAGATTTTTCTATACGGAATCCAAGGAGATTAATGAGACGTCAAGTAAAGTGCAAATAGGACTCCCTCATCGCGTTAATTATATGGTTGATTTAGACACGTACTACGTTCCAATTTTTATACACAGCGCCATATGCGATTTTTCTTACACAGTCTTACTAGTTATATTTGATGTTCTATACCTAACACTGGTCGAATACTGCTGCGGTTTGTTCGCGGCTTTGAGGTGAGTCTAATCAGTCTAATGAACAATCATGATTTAAGTACATGGATTCTATAAAAATGCGAGCTCAACGCAAATAATGGGATAGTTTATTTCTTGCGAAAATACTTTTATTTCAAAAAAGCGTTTTTTTTTTTAATTTTATGATAATATTGAACTTAGATACCGGTTAGAAACCGCGTTAGTCTTCGAAAACGACAGATTGACGATGACAACTACAAAAAATATATCTTATGCGAATATCGCGTATAGTATTCGCAGACACACGGAAACGATGCAGTGAGTATACGTTCAGACATTTAGTATTAACTATCTTCGTGTGAGCAATAGTAATAAAATAATATGTTTGTGTATGTTGTATTAGATTTGTTGCCATCATAGAGTCAATATACAGCATACCTCTCTGTATACATATTGGACTAACTGTACTTATTTTAAGTGTCCAGGGATATCAGGTATATCTGATGAAAATTTTTACATAATCGTAATAGTTCTTGGATGTGCTTTTGCATCGCATATATAAATTACTTAATAAAGTATTTAATAAAATTAACTACTTAAATCAACTGTATTTATCATACTTTATTAATTATACTTCTCGTATATTAATTATACTTCTTTTGGTTGTACAGGTGATAAATAACACGGAAGATATTAATCGTCTTTTAAAACTCAGTGCTTATCTAAACGGAGTTTTAATTAACGTTTTCTTCCAAAATTGGCAGGGTCAGAAAATCATAGATTCCAGTGAGAAAGTGTTTGAATCCGCGTACGTATAATATAAATATAAGCAGTAGCACTTTTGCAAAATCTTGAGTCATATAACTCATGAAAAACGTAACAAAATTGCAAGCGGATAAATACATAATATAATTTCGAAATGTCTTGCAAAATTTCTAGATATAATTCAGAGTGGTATAGTATGCCGATAGCAGCGAGAAAGCTTCTTATAATGATAATGATGAGATGTGAGAAACCATCAATACTAAGAATAGGTGAAATCGTTGTATTGTCATATGTAACTTTCAATACGGTAAGTGTAATTGTTTTATAGGATGTATATGCGTGCAATTATATATACTCTGTAAAAATATGTTCAAGGTGTTGCGTACATCATCGTCATACTTTATGCTACTACGGTCTTTGTAATGAAAATTTAGAACGTAACTAAGAATGTCTACGTTTATGTAGATATTATCTCATTACATGCTAGTAACAGACAAAAATGAGATCTTGTAAGATCGCACGTTTATGAGCTAACTTTCCTTCCAATGCTTTTTCTGTAGATAATTAAATAAAGCTGTGAAAAACCTATTAATTTCTTAAGTAAAGAAGATTCCTTTTCTTGTGAGAAATCCACGTTACTCTATTAAAAACTGTCATATAAAATATTTATCGATATAAAGAAAATATTTTATTTCAAATTTGTTATTATTACGAAACTTTTCATGTGCTAAACTCTTGATAAATAATTATTGCTGGTATTCAGAGTCGGATCTTATTTCAAGACCGTTTTGGCTACGTCCAAAAATTTTATTCGGGTGCACACCGCATCGTTCTATCTTTGCTACTTACTAAAAATTGAACAAGAACAGAATGACGCTTGTGCACCCGAGTAAAGTTTTCGAACGCAGCCCTTAACCCTTTCGGTACGGAGAGTGACTATAGTCTTTTACTACGTTTACGTGAGCATTACTTCTGTAGTAACTTACGATAATTCCTTTGCGTAAACGGGATTTTGTAGTAACTTACGATAATTTACTCCGCGTAAACGAGTGAATTATCGTAAGTTATGATAAAGATATTCTCTCGATAATCTCTGTCTGTCTAAACGGACTGGTTGGTCGATTCGCCCAGACACGATCTCTTCACTCTCAGTGCTCAGGATGTCGTCGCGGCTCGGGGAATAAGATACTCTCGGGTAGTATAATAATAGGCTTTAATAATCTGATCAATTACACAGGGGGTTCTCGCTATCGTACGCTCACGCTCGGTATCTTGGCCACCGCCCTACGCTCAACCGTCTCGCTCGAGCTCCCGTGTCTCACTGCTCACCCTCGCAACTTCTCTCTCTCGCTCTCACTCACACCATCACGCTCGCTCGCTCATTGGCTCTCGCCATTACGCTCTCTTATTGGCCACTGCCAACGTACGCTCTGCTCTCTGTCTCTCTCACTCAGTACTCGCTCGTTATCAGTTACTACAGAAGTAACGCTCGCGTAAACGTAGTAACTGTCCATTATACTGTTCGCTGCGGCCGAGCATTAACTATAGTCAATTCACTGTCACATACTGCTTATACTGCGGCCGAGCAACTTGAAATGTTAACTTAAAATATTTCTACTGTTAATAAATTTTTTAAATGTTTTTGTTATTAAGTTTTATTACATATAATAATTGAAGGCGTTGAACGTCGAGTGCCTAGCTCTCTCCGCCAAATCGCGTATGTATATCGGCAGATCGACGCTTCGGCCATTAGAGGGCCGTTCGCATCCCAGTCGCTTCGTACCAAAAGGGTTAAGTAATGTTTTAAGATGCCAATACAGCTTCGTAATTGCTTCATGACATCTTAAGATCGTACTTAAGACGTACTTAAGGCTTAAATACACCCAGATAGCAACGTGTCTGTATTGTTGCTGGCATGTTGCCGACAACATAGTATGTGTTGCTAGCAGAATTGTAGCAACTGAGTCTGCATTTGTCGGCAAGTTGATGCCTTCACGAGACAACAATTTTGTATAGCAACTTGCCAGCAACTTGTTGGCAACTTATGCTGCGGTCTAAAATCGTCTGATTCAAAATTCGAGCTGTTGCTGTCATGTTGCAGTAATAATTCATAGGATCACACAATGCTGTCATATTGTTAGCAACGCGAAATAAATTTGATGCTGCTTTCTTGCCGACAAATTGCTGGCAATAGATATATCCAATGTTGTCTGCGTGTTGCTTCAAATCAAGAGACACGGCAGTGTCTCGCGCCAAGTACATGCGGAGCGAGACCGACCATGACTCTTTTACGCGACGCGACGGGTTGCGAGCCCAGCCGGAATGCTAGCGTTTTTTCGACGTTTATAGATGTCGATAGATGTCGAATCGACATCTATAAGATGTCAATTTGACGTCTATAGACGTCGGCGTTCCGGCTGGGAGTACCCGAGATGTTGAGATCTCGATAACGAGTGAACGGATCAAGTTCTAAGTAGGCTTGATCGATAGCTTGGGGTCGAATTAGGGGGAGGGGGGTTCTCTTATAATATTCCGCTACATGTCCTACGAGCGGAGATATTGCGACGCAAAGTCCAAATGTGAACAATTTTATTTAAGATACTTCTTCTCCTCCTCCTCCTCCTAACGCCGCGGCGCCGACGTCTCAATATTATTATGATTATTATGCTAGGTCTACAATGCAAGTTGTAAAGTCGTGAGTCGTAAGAATTGACCAATCACAATCGAATTTGAGGAGAATAATCGATTGTGATTGGTCAATTCTTGCGACTCACGACTTTACGACTCGCATTATAGACCTAGCATTAGAGAAATGTCACTTTCACTTTTTCGACGCTGGCGGCGTAGGTATTGCCAGTTTCGATATCGCGCGCGTATTTCGAAATTTGGTCGATAGACTTATCGGTCAGGAGGAGGATTTCTATTTGGGTAAATTAGGTATATATATAATATATATTAAGTCAATTGCTTCATGTTTATCTGGAGAGATTTCGTATCCTTACATTGTATTGCCACCGCTGCCGGAAAAGAAGGTTCTCTACGCTTGGCAGAAAATGCCGCTAGGAAATTTTTAAGTCGATTCTTATGAATCAAGCTTGAATTCAATGTCTAGATATCCCAGGTTGCCGATGACGAGGTCCAGATAGTGCGCTTCGTAGTTTTCGGTGTCTAGGTGTAATAATACCTCGAATTCGATGTCTACGTGTCCCAGGTTGCCGATGACGAGGTCCACATAGTGCGCTTCGTAGTTTTTGGTGTCTAGGTGTATTAATAATTTTAAATCTGAATGTAGGACACGTATGTAGATATCAAATTTGAGGTATTAATACACGTAGACACCAAAAACTAGAGAGCACACTATGTGGACCTCGTCATCGGCAACGTGGGACACCTAGACATCGAAATCAACGTATTATTACACCTGGACACCGAAAACTATGGAGCGCACTATCTGGAACCCGTTATCGGCAACCTGGAACACGTGGACATCGAATTCAAGGTATTAATACACCTGGACACCGAAAACTATGGAGCGCACTATGTGGACCTCGTCATCGGCAACCTGGGCCACCTAGACATCGAATTCAAGCTTGATTCATAAGAATCGACTTAAAAATTCCCTAGCGGCAGAATTAAAATTATGTCATGACATAATAAAAATTCGCTGAATTAAAATTATATATAGACCTAATAAAAATTGGACGAATTAAAATTATGTCTAGACATAATAAAAATTGGATGAATTAAAATTATGTCTTGACATAATAAAAATTGGATGAATTAAAATTATGTCTGACATAAAAATAATTCCGCATTTTTATTATGTGTATACACATAATTTTAATTCATACAATTTTTATTATGTGTACACATAATTTGTTTTCGAATAAACGTAAAACGTATTTGTTATAATATTGAATATCCATTATTGAAAATCGATATGCGCGACAAAAGCTCTTGTATATCATTAATTATGTTATTATTTATTATATATATTTTTATCCATATATTTTCAGTATTATTGTTACATTAGAAAAATTATTGGCATTTAGGATACGAATCTTTTTCCGTTAGTTTGTAAGTTTCATGATTAAAAAGATCATGTCGTATTATTAACATATACCTAAGATTTATAGAATCGTTATTAATTTTATTATATATATCTCAATTGCGCGAATCTCAAATATGTTTTGTAAAAATTATGCATAATATTCCTATGCAAGGATACTTGTTTAATTATTTCTTCCTATTGCATTTAAGTATAGAAAAATATACAATTTCTGTGTGTTTGCACTTTATATTTAATGAGCAGGCAATTAAATATATATGATTCAATTTGCGTCTATGTCTCTTTATTGACTGACATAGTTATATACTAAAATTCAATCAAATAAATAGCAAAAACTACGTTATCATATTATATATTTTTGGTACGTAGTGTGCAAATGTATTTTGAAATGAAGATTATATATTTTCTACTGAATTATTTACACACACGTGCAGTTTCAGAGAATCATTTTTCGCCAACTCAAATATGTTCCTACTCAACTGTCAAAATATGAAAGATAATTTTATCTAGTTGTGACATTCGCTCAAATTCCCGAAATAATTTTTTAGGATGTGAGTACGAATATATATATATATATATATATATATATATATATATATCGTACTATTTAATATTTATAATTAATAGAAAATTATAAACAATGCGTTATGTATGAGAAATTTAACAGAATTGCTTTTATCAAATAGAATTAATTTGCGATTAGTTGAAGGGAATAAAAGAATAAACCAATCAGGTAAATTTCAGACACGTGTCCATCTGTAATTATCAAAAATATCAATACCTGAAGATATCGGTACATATACAGTTGCGAACAACATTCAGTAAGACACGCGAATAAAAATAAATAAAGAATTTTACAGTTAACGACTTATTAACATTAATCATGCTATATTGCGATTATGTTTTATGTTGAAATTAAAAAATATATACAAAGTGTACAACTAAAAAGGTTACAGATTATTATTTTTAAAAAACTAAGCAAAATATTAAATTGTTGTTTTCTTTAGAAATAATAGTCCGTAACACTTTTAGCTTCATACCTTGTATATACTGTTTATAAGATTATAAGATATATTGTTTATAAGATTAAGATGCGTAACACTACAAAAAGGCGTGATATCCGTACAAAATTACCTTTTTAAAAAAAAGGTAAAAAAAGGTGCTAAGTACACGCATAGTAGTGTACATGTATTATGTTGTTACACTGTTATGATGTTACCTCGAAAAAAACAAAGTGGTAGTATTATACCTCCAAATAGCTTTACCCTGTACATACTGTTTATAAAATGCGTAATACTACAAAAAGGCGTGATATCCGTACAAAATTACCTTTTTTAAAAAAATGGTAAAAAAAGGCGCTAAGTACACGCATAGTAGTGATATGTTGTTACCTCGAAAAAAAAAGAATGTGGTAGTATTATACCTCGAAAAAACCTAAGTAACAAGTGCTAGATGTAATCTTTATA